CTGTTACGTAACGAACTATGAAAATATTCGCAATGATGTCTAATTTGTAACAATTTTTCCGTCGCGTTCCCAAATTGCTGTTAAATGGGTGGGTGTTATCATCGGAGCGATTAAATAGGTAAGAAATTTCCGGAAAATATGACTCGCTATCTTTCAAATTTCCGATCACTGATTGTCATGTGAGAGTACATTACCTTTAATTCAGCAAATATCCAAATGTGTGTAGATACTCTCGGTTTCGCACTGTCATACATTATTAAATACATATATATGCACATAAACTTGTATGTACAATCATACTTACATATATGGAGGAGCAAACCTTGCTGCTGATATCTTGAACAAGTTCTGATATGGCAATTTGCAGCTTTCAGCTAAGTATTTTAAGATAATGGAGCACACCTTATATCTTTATATGTATGTATATGTCCTAGGCTTATGCAAAATATATTTTGTCTAAACATTTATTGGACATTTAAAGCAGAAATTAATGCGAACTGATTAGGTAGTATAATTATAAATACACCTTAGAGCTGAAAAATTGAGATTTTATACGTATTTTAAAGCTCACTCAAAACCTCTGACGTCATTCAAATCAATACCAAGGTGTCAATGGTGTCACTTAAAAAATGGGTACATAACGGATTAATATTGAGCTAGTTACAAATAATAAATAATACAAATCAAGCATTCGCTACAAAATTAATAGAGCGGTTTGTTCCCTTAGAACATAATTTGATTAATTCATTGTTTTACGCCTTCTTTGTTGCATATTTCCTTTCAAGTGTTCTTTGTTGCCACAAACAACCCTCATTTTGGAATTACCTTTTTCTGTGGAAGAAAGGCATTACATAAAGATGTACATAATAATATGCCACTGCTGTGGTTTAGCGAACGCTACTATGCCTTCAAAAGTCCAACATCACTGCTAGTGTAGCAAACCCCATTGTTGGCGTTGCAGTATATTTTTATTCCCATTTATAAAATACCATTTCTACACATCTCATCACCAAGATCGTGAGTGTCCGTGTACTCTTCGTCCACTGATATGATTCCTCAATCGAATTCGAAGGTGCCACCGCGAGTTCTAGCTCATTTTTACTTCCAGCCATCTTGGTTAAACAAAAACAGGGTCAGGGATAAGCGGGGCATTGACTCAGCTGGACAAGAGGCAAGTCTACAGTGCAATTAACGAGTCTACAAATGCTTGGTAATAGTTGTACGTGCTTGCAGATAGGTACATATTTACAAATCTTTATATCTACATATGTATGCATGTGCACATAAGTGTGATGCCCCCAATAACAGCCCGTTTCCATGCAACATAAAAATGTGTTACATCATCATAGGAAAAAACTAAATATTTGTAATTTTACCGTTGTGATTGCTAATATATGTATGTACTGCTAAGTTTGAATGTATGTTTTGTGCCTTGTGTTGGCTTTATTAGCTGCGGCATTTCTTAGTCAGTTCAACTCAACAACAACATTTTCATATTTTTACGCTCTGTAAAATTTCGTTGCCTCTAATTTAACACATTTGCATACATACTATGTAGTATATGAAAGTATGTACACACATGTGTAGGACATAGACACATTTATATGGACACCCGGAATAATATATATTTTAATATTCTCTTGTGAGGCTTTCGTGAAGCATATGCTGGCAGGTGACTTGTCTGCTGACGTTGTTCGAAGGTTGCCTGATTTCTTCCCCAACTGTATTTTTAAGTTTTGTTGTAGAACACGTGACGGCGATGGTGATTTCATTAATGCCGTAAAAATTTGAACAAGTCACAAAATGCAACTGCCGGACCACGTTTAAATTTTGCTGTAGGATTAGGAGTCTTGAGCTGCGAATCAAATATTTTTTAAAGCCATTGAATTTTACTGTGATTTTAAGTTACTATTAATTAAGCTCGGGTAATTCGTTGAATAAGATATAATAATCAGTAAGGTTATTTCTAGGGGTAGATACAATTTGAACATTACTTTATATATTCTATGTACATATGTACCTATGTAAATAAGTATGTAAGTAATTCCTCTTATTTACATACATATGTATGTACATACACTATATAGCCCCAGGGGGGGTATTTATGGTATACTCTCAGTAAAAGCTAATTGAAACATGCGCGATCAATGGTTGATCGCATAAAGTATCTCGATTAGCTCTCAATCAAAGTTTCGCGCCGTACATTTAACAAACGTATATATTCGCCTATATATCTATCGATTCAGCGTTCTCCATTCTCACTCTCTCTTGGATTCCCACATTGGTTTCGCTTGGAGTTCGCACGCAGATGCGGCAACATTAAAACATCAGTGATCAATCTTTACACATATAAGTTTGCCGGCTACTTTGTAACGTCATTCGTGTTTTGTAAAATACAAATACATTTATATAAAATGTGTTTGGACGGCAGCGTTCAACGACCTTTGTGGTTTACTTTATATGGTCTTCAACGTTCATCACTGTGTGTGGTTGCAGTGGAGTTCATGCTGTTTACTTCGTGGTAAGGGAACGTACCCATACTACGTGTCCCGTTCAGTGGGGGAGGGTGATCTTAAAAATACTACGCTTGGTCACAATGAGGGGCGGGGGACTTAGGTTTTTATATCGTAGTCAATATCCTCTAAGGAAATCTAGCGTTTTTTTTTTGGCTCCATTCAAATATGGCGCGCAGTGTTTGGCGCTTTTTAAACCCACATGACTTTTGTTTCTATAAATTAAGTTTTAGTTACGATATATCTTGACATAAGTTTTATCTTGATAATATTTTTTCCACTTGTAATTATAGGTATGCATGCACTCTTGCCGTCACGAGCAAGATGGATTTAAATGGGGTTTGCTAAAATATAGGCCATATTTTAATACAAAATTAACAAAAAAATTTTAGCATATAAAACTGCGAAAATTAACAAAAAAAGAGGCGTACGCTCAATTTTGTGAGTAACAGTACATATAAGCCAAATATTTTTGTTTACGTTGTGTTAGAAAGAAATGAATTACTACGTGAAAGTTGTAGAGGGAGGGGAGTCTGGAAATATACTATATATATACAGGCCACCGAGGGGGAGGGGGGTTAAAAATTAAGCTATATATATAAGCTATATATATAATTTATTTACGTTCCTGCAGATATGCGCTATGGCATGTTAATGTGTATGTATGTTTGGTATACATATACACATTGTACATGTGCATCATTTTCAATCTGCAAACATATTTCTTGTAATGCTTATATGAATTTGCCACTTAGTTAAAATAATTGCCAACTGGACCCTTTGCGAAACCTTCCTGAAATATTTACTTTTTACGAGTGCTTTTCTGTCTGTCTTTCCATCAGAAATATCAAAATTTTAGTACTGATTTTTACATCATAACACAAAATTAAATAAAAATCGAATGTATAAGTATCTATATTTTAGATCTGCAGATTTTTATAATAACACGCGTGTATCTTAAATTTTATACATACCTGCATTATTAGATGGCTCCTCCATCATACCCAGATCTTGGCAAACAAGCCCGCGACGTCTTCAGCAAAGGCTACCACTTTGGTCTCTGGAAGTTGGATTGTAAAACCAAGACACCATCTGGCATTGAATTCAACACAGCCGGTCACTCCAACCAGGAGTCTGGAAAAGTCTTCGGTTCTTTGGAGACAAAATACAAAGTTAAGGACTATGGCTTGAGTTTAACCGAAAGATGGAACACAGACAACACTTTGTTCACCGAAGTGTCGGTCCAAGACAAGTTGCTGGAAGGATTGAAGCTTGCATTCGAAGCTACATTCGCTCCTCAATCTGGGTGAGTAAAATCATTGCATGTAAAAATGTGACATCTTTACTAACGAAAACAACTTTCTTATATATTTTGAAGCAACAAAACTGGCAAGTTCAAGGCTGCCTACGGTCACGAAAATGTTAAAGTCGATTCGGACGTGAATGTTGATCTGAATGGTCCACTGATTAACGCTTCAGCTGTTTTGGGTTATGAAGGCTGGTTGGCTGGTTACCAGACTGCATTCGATACCCAAAATAACTCTTTGAAAACCAACAACTTTGCCTTGGGCTATGCAGCCAAGGACTTCGTGCTCCACACAGCTGTGTAAGTTACTACAACCTTTGCCTTTTTAATTAAGTTGTTGTTTCAATTGTTTCTACTTTGTTTACAGCAATGATGGCCAACAATTTACGGGCTCCATTTTCCAAAAGTGCACTCCCAAACTCGATGTTGGCGTCCAATTATCATGGACATCTGGTGGTAACAACACCACATTCGCACTTGGAGGCAAGTACCTCATCGACGATGACATCAATGTCCGCGCGAAGGTGAACAATGCCAGCCAAGTTGGTTTGGGCTACCAACAGCGGGTACGCGACGGCATCACAGTCAGTCTATCCGCCTTGATCGATGGCAAGAACTTCAATGCTGGTGGTCACAAGATTGGTGTTGCCTTGGAGTTGGAAGCTTAAAATAATTATGTTATGAGAACATCAAGTATAGTAATAAAATCAGAACATCGTACTATTAAAAACGGTAATTAAATTATAACAGAAACCTAACAACAAGAAATAAAGGAGACCAAAATCATTTTATGTGTAGCGAATACAAGGTAACTCGGAAGTGTTGTTCCAACAACGAAAAGTGTGTTAAATGGATGATAAATCGGGTTGGCTTTCCAAAACGGAACCAGTCGAGATTTCGGCGAAAGTTTAAGGAATTTCGTCATGAAACTTGGTGAGGAAGTTGGGGAGGCCTTTATCTGAATTGATCACTATTACAATCTAGTTACTAATAGTATTTAAGCAATTTGTTAAATTATCTCCACTTCTACCACCAAATTTTTATAGAAAACTCCACTTATAACGTATATTTTGTGTGATATATTTGCAGTGCGCACTTGCGTATATAGTTCTTTTAACAAGTAACTAACTAAATCTATTTAAATTTACCTTTGGTTTTACTAATTTATATTAAAGGCTTCAATTTCAGTCCCCTGTAAGGATGATATCATTAGCAATGTGAATAAGAAAATGTAAACAAATAAATGTTAAATCAAACTCCGAGTTTCTTAACACCACAATGAGCACGCTTGACAGCTGTTCATAAACACAAAAGCGTAAACTCGAGTTTATGGCGCAATGTGACCATAATTTACACAAATATCTTTTACTAAATATTTTATATCGAAAATTTGCATAAAATATAAATTTATTGGACGTTGCAGCTCTGCAGATCTTGAATTCAAACGCAAACTTGGCAGCACTTTGTGAGAAACTGACAACTTAAATTTACGTTCTCTGGATGTCACTTTTGACATTTGCGTTCATTTTGAAATTTACAAACGGAAAAGCGAAAAGCGCGATAGTCCGCGATTTTGCTTGCAAGCATTTAATTAAGCTCTTAATTAATTCCAGAATCCCAAGAGTTTATAGTTTTAAAAGTATTTCAAGATGAAAAAACTACAAAAGAAACCCCCGAATAGAACTGATTTAGCTAAGATGATAAAAGAAGTGCCTGAAGAATACCAACACCACATTCAGTCAATGTCGCTTAAAATGATGCAGCACCCCGCATATGGACATCCGTAAGTGAAATTGATTTCAATATTTTGTAGCAAAATCATAACAATTTTTTATAGTTACGAGTGGAGTACCAGAGATTTTGAGATGGGCGCTCCCTTAGGACGTGGAAAATTCGGGCGCGTCTACCTAGCTCGCGAACGCACTTCTAATTATATAGTAGCTATGAAGGTAATGTTTAAAGCTGAACTTGAGAAGGGAAATGTACAGCGACAAGTTTTGAGGGAAATTGAAATACAAACTCGACTGAAGTGAGTAAAGCAAATGCATTTATCAAGTTGACCAATGATATTCAACGGCATCTTTATAATAAATTTAGGCACCCAAACATTTTGCGTTTACTCACATGGTTTCATGATGAAAGTCGAATTTATCTTGCATTAGAAATTGCATCGGAAGGAGAATTGTACAAACATTTACGCAATTCCCCACATCGACGTTTTGAGGAACAACGCGCCGCTAAGTATACATACCAAGTGGCTGATGCACTTGAATATTGTCATTTGAATAATGTAATACACCGCGATTTGAAGCCAGAAAATATATTGCTGACATCTTCAGATGATGTCAAATTAGCTGATTTTGGTTGGTCGGCACACACACTATCTAACAAGTAAGTTTCTGCTCTTATTTTGTGCATGCATTTTATATGTATGTAGCTAATTTAATTTTTTTCGCAACAGACGTAAGACTCTGTGCGGCACTTTAGATTATTTGCCACCAGAAATGGTGGATGGTCATATATACGATCACACCGTCGACCAGTGGTGCTTAGGTATTTTATGTTATGAATTTTTGGTGGGTTGTGCACCCTTCGAATCGAATGATAATGAGAAAACTTACGAAAAAATTAGACGATTGGAAGTTCATTATCCTAATCATTTGAGTGCTGGAGCTAAAGATCTTATTTCTAAGGTACCTAATAAAGTTTGTTTGAAAGCGCTTAATTAAATTTTAACACAATTTCAGTTGTTGCGTAAATCGAATAATGGCCGCATAACTCTCGTAGAGGTAATGAAACATCAATGGGTTAAGGAGAACATGGCTAAACGGAACGCATATATAGCGGAGAAATTGAAGCGTGAGAAGGGTCTTGAGTAGTCTGCATTTACTTAGTTTTTGAAAGCACATTTATATGTATACTTTTTAATTTAATATATTGCCGTTTTCTAATAATACTGATCATACATTAAAAAAAGCCGTTTACTTAATCGATGAAGAATGTCGAGGTTTGAGTTTCTAGGTTCGGAGTAACCCAAGCCAATAATTGAGGGAAGAATTTCGTAATTTTCGTAACTGCTTAATAAAATTATGATTATAATTAATCTAATCGTAATTAAGAAAATGTTGATTTCGATTCACTGATATTCGGTACACGTTTAGTAGTTAAGTAATAATGTAAATCAAAATGAAGCTTAATGTACTGCGTGTCTAGTGACAATATGTACATGCATATGTATGTATATTAAAAGTGTTCGAAAAGCAATACAATAAAGTAGACTTCATTTTTGGAAAGAAATGTATAATGGGGCGGATTCTTTGTTTCGTACGGTTCGAAAATCATGGAATTTTCCTATAATTTTTTATAAAAAAAAAACTCAGTGCGTGTGTGTACTACGCGCGGAGGAAGTGAAACTTAATTGAGGAAATGCCTGAAAGAAAGAAATATGCGATACACAAGCAAATGTACATATTTTCTAATATACAAAAAACATATTTATTTAAAATTTTGTTTACGACCTTTAATTTTGTATCTTTTATAACCAACTGGAAAGTTTAATTATTATTTGTGGCTGAAAACACATACATATCTACACTGTTAACTAGCAGATTGGGTAGCTAAAGTAAGATATGAAATGTCAATTTCAAATTTCAATATTTTTAATATTTCTGGAAAAACCCGCAATGGTAGCCGCTCCTTTGGTTGTTGGATCATTTCCACCATTAACCATTTCCAGTGAAAATTTTGCTTTAAAGAATTTTGTCAGTTCATCAGATTCATCTGCATCTTCATCTTCATTTTCATGTTCATGTTCATGTTCATGTTCATGTTCATCTTCATGTTCATCTACATCTTCATCTTCATCTTCATCTTCATCTTCATCATCTTCATCTTCATCTACGTCTTCATCTTCATCTTCATCTTCATCTTCATCTTCATCCTCATCTTCATCTTCATCTTAATTTTCATCTTCATCTTCATCTTCATCTTCATCTTCATCGTCATCTTCATCTTCATCTTATTTCATTTCATTCATCTTATCTCGTATTTTACCTTATTGTGATTATATTCTTGTCTTTGCATTAGTCTTTTCCCGCCCAATTGGCGTTTAACGCAGCTATTCGTTTTCTATACCCGTCATATGCTACCTGTACCGTGGCGTTAAATATTTATCGCAAACATAACGGAGCTATAATAATAAGATTTGCTTCAATAATTTGAGTTTAACTTTTTAAACAGGTGGCCACCCTCTTCAGGCACCTCAAAAATACTTTAATTGTGTTTCTGTAAGCTCTTTCTGTACTGTATAGTATTTTACGCGTAAGACTTTTGTATAATTTAACTAAATTTTACTTTTGAAACAGGTGGCAACCCTCCTACATTTAGCTAGAAAATACAACTTATTCAAAACCATTTCTTTTGATACCCATATTGGGATAATTCGTTTAACTTAATAAATAATTTGAATTTGATTTTCGTATATATGGCAACCCTTTAAAAGACTAAAACCATACTGCACATCTGCAGGTCAAGCCCTTTCAGTGACGCCTCTTTTTTGAAAATCGTACGAACGATACAGATTTTATGACTTGATGTTAATATTTTACGCAACCCTCTGCGGCAGAGAAATTTTGAATTCGATTTTCTAACATGTGGCAACTTATTTCATAGAACTAAAGCTATGTTGTAAACCAGAAGGACAAGGCCTTTCATGTGACACCTCATTTTTAAAAATCGAACGAACGATACAGATTTTATGACGTGGTGTTAAATATTTAACGCAACCCTCTGCGGCAGAGAAATTTTGAATTCGATTTTCTAACATGTGGCAACTCCTTTCATGAAACTAAAGCTACGTTGCACACCCGAAGGACAAGGCCTTCATGTGACACCTCATTTTTAAAAATCGAACGAACGATACAGATTTTATGACGTGGTGTTAAATATATAACGCAACCATCTCCGAACTCGATTAAGAAGTTTCACTTCAAAAATTTAAAATTTTCGTTTCGTACGAAAACTAGCATACGTCTCAATATAAAGATAGCTATTAGAAAAATAAGGCGGCAACGAAAATTTTTCATTTTGTTTTCAAACAAAATAATTTAACAAAAATCTACCAAAATTATAAAAAATTTACCTTTTTACTAACCCAAATTTTGTCTACCAATTTTGGTAATAATTTACCAAAGTGGCAACTCTGGTCACAGCCGAAAAAAGTGATGTTATTCACGCTTGCCTGGGTATTAGGTTAATTTGGTTAAAAATTATTATTGTGTGGTGTATTTTATGGTCAACTGAATAAAAAACATAACCAAATAACGTAAATCTATAAAAGGAGACAACAGGTTATAATTGTAGCGAGTGTGAACATCAGGAGCGTGCCTTCTCTTATTATCCAATTTCAAAACGTATTTGGGCAAAAAAAAGCATGCTCCTGATGTTTCCACGCGTTGCAATTATAACGTATTGCCTCTTATATATTTGCGTTCTTTGTAACAGCGCCCTTAAATGTTTGCCGGTGCTGTGTTGTTAACTTAGGGTTTAGACCGGACAATATTGTCAAGACAATTACGTCAAAATGATGTGTTTGTTGTAATATAAATTCGCCGTGTTAACAACAAGCACATCATTTTGACATAGTTGTCTTGACAATATTGTCCGGTGTAAACGCGCCGTTAGTTTGTAAATGCTCAGTAATTCTGAACTGTGGCAACGTCGTTTAAATGCATATTTCATTACAGCTAACTTCACCGGCACGAAGTATCTTCGGCTAATAGTTACGGTTCAGTGGCATTGTTTCGTCATTCATTTGGAAACTGAGTTCATTCTTTGCCATCTCGTGGAGAAAAATAATTATTTTTTAATGTAATTAATATGTGCTCAGACAGAATAGTTATTAAAATATCTTGCTAATAAAGAGACAATTATATGGTAATATTATTTCTGTGAGCAAATCTAGGTATTGTGCTAAAAATCATTTCATAAGGAAAGCCTTGTCTTGGCCTCGCCTGCATTCGGGTATGTACAAAATGGCGGACGGCATAGAAAATTTTTACCTTCGATTTTTATTTGGGGGAATGGGAATAAAATAATTTTTTTTTACTAATTTCAGTAAACAAATTTTATTCAAATACAATTTTATTAGAAAAGGTAAGTTTTGTAAAGCGTAGCGGTCTTGAGGTGATAATTTCATAAAGGGACGTTCGCCCACGGCTGTCCCATCAAAGGAACTCGCCAAGTTATTTGCGTCTGAAATATGTCCGAAGCCTTAGCCGCGCCCCTAATTCCACAACTGCAAGAGATGCAGCAGCAGCAACAACATAGTGGCCCTAGTGCCGCCGCCGCCTCCGCCGCTCAACAATGGTATTCAAATCCCTGGTATGCCAATCAATACCAGCAACAGTATAGCCAGTACTATCAATATTATATGCGCTATGGAATGCAACATCAACCGCAACAACATCAAAGCAATAATGCTCCGCCTGGATTTAGCAACTCTGTTATACCATCGGATAAGAACTTGCCCCCATTACCCTCTGGGCCACCGCCACCTCCACCAATGACCCCAAGTGGCAGCAGCAATCAAATTCAAGGTAATCAAAAAAGTTTCGGCGGGATCAGATTTAACTTAAGTCAGCAAAAGCGCTTGGCGAATGCGCCAAATCCATTGCAGAATTCACCAACTGTTCTGAATACGCCATCTTTTCAAAATAATAACGTCAATAACAATCCCGTTAATGGTGTTAGTATGAGTAATGCAAATAATAATAGCAAAAAGAAACGTAAAAGGAATAAGAAGCAAAGTCCATTACAACAACAGCAGCAGGCTGCTTTCGATGCTCATTTTGAAAGCATAAATACAAGTCAACAAATGAATGGTAGTTTTATTAACACTTCGCTTCCACCGCCTATAATCGCGCCATCGATAACGGCCGACTTATCCAAACCACCACCACCGATTATGCCATATAGCAGTATGAATGGCGCTAGTGTAGTGGAAGAGCAAAAACCATCGGACAACAGTACATTAAATGAACAAACAGCTTCTGTAGAGACGCCAATCAAGAAAATAAATATGTTTAATAATCCAAATGATGCCTGGCCAGAGTCACTAAATAATTATGTGGCCCGTTGTTACGCCAAGTGCGCTACTGATTTGGATAAGGATCAAATTGATATTTGCTTGAAAGGAAAAATAATGGCAGCTGCGAATCGCAATGAGCTTTGGACACGTGATTGGGATAATGAGCCTATACCTAGTGTACACAGTGAGCGAAATAATATACAAATGCAGTTGTATAATCAGCAACAAAAACAACAGCAGTCGCAACAGCATACACCAAACGCGCAGAAATACAAGCAACAACAAAATCAAATTAATCACCAAAATTCACAACAAAAAAATAATAAGGGTATATCTCGTAGTTTAAATGCGCGCTTAGGTCAACGTAATTCATTCGGAAACGTACAAAAGGCTTCAAGAAATTCCAGAAGTCGTTCGCGGTAAGAATTATATTTTTTTATTCCTTTGGAGTTCTTTTCATCATATTTTAATTTCAGGTCCCCACAACCACATAAATATCATAAACGCAGTACACGATCTCGGTCGCGATCTCGCGGTTCGTCATCAAGTCCTCGTCGTAAGATACGTCGCAGTACCAGTTCGGATTCATCTGATCGTCGGTCGAATGAAAATTTTATAGCATTTAATTCCTCCGGTAAAAAGCAACAAAAAGGTAATAGCTCTAAAAAGGGGAAGAATGCTAAGGGCGCCAGCAGTTCAGCAAATACGAAATCCAAAGCCCCCTTTTATTCGTCATCTGTAGGCGGCGCGGTAGATGACGACACGGCACGATTGCAGCAACGTGCAGCGCGTTTCTCGCAGGGTTCTTCAACGAAAAAATCGGTTGTCGCGGTAGCTAGCTCTCCATTCGGTCATGCGAAACAGTTAAAACAGAAAAAATACGGGGGTAGTTTGGGCGGGCGCATGTTTATGGATACGGATACTTCCGGCGGTTTTGAAACAGGGTTAGATTTATTAGATTTGCATATTGTAGGCACATGCAGGCTTTTGGAAAAGTCTTTCCTGCGATTGACTAAGGCACCATTACCAACGGAAGTGCGGCCCATTGAGGTGTTAACGCACTCGTTACAAAATGTCAAACAGAAGTGGAGAGACAATCAGGATTACTACTACGCTTGCGATCAGCTCAAATCCATACGTCAGGATCTGACGGTAAGCATGTAATAATAGCAATCGGGTAAGTTCTGTAACTCATTTCCGAGAGAATTTCAACCCCTGCCAATTTGAATTCAAAGCGGAGTTGATTGATATTCTCGGAAGTGAATTGCGGAACCTGCCTGAATATATTGAATTATATTGGGGATGTAGTTCAATTTAAAAACTTATTTTAGAAAAAAGACCCAGTAGATAATTTCAGGAGTTAAAAGCACTTCCGAAAGGCCTTCCTGAGAATCAAGAGGCCTTCCACTCTATATTCCTTTCTCCTTTCTTTTTTGTATGGAGTGGCACAAATTGAAGGGCTTCCCCTTTCGCTACCCACAGAAGGCCTTCCAGAAGGGCTTTTATAGGACGTACTTCAGAAGGCCTTTTGGAGGAGTTCTTTAAAGTTGCTTCTTTAATTTATAAAAATCATACATCTTTTAGGTATTTGCTTAAGGTTTAAATCAAATATGTGTTATTGTAACTTAAAATTTTTATTGGAATTTATTTGTAATGTTAGATAGTCTAAATTTATGTATTCCCGTAAATTGCAAATGGATAAGC